CTGATGTGTGCAGCCAGACTTGTAAGAACAATACCTGCCATACTCCTGTCAAGAATTGGCCTCCGCCACTGATAGGATGGGTGGCGCTTTCTGTGGACGGATCCTTCTCGATTCATGACGGGTGCACGTCCGCTGGGATGGTACTTCGGAGTGAGAATGGTAAGTTGATCTTCGCTGCCTACAGATATATCTTCAACTGTAATGGTGCCTTAGAAGCAGAGATCCATGCATTGATGCAAGGTATGGCCTTGGCTATTCAGCACTCGGACAAGCCGGCCCGTCATTGTCCAATCAGATTCTATAAATGCCCTAGCCACTCTTGGAGGAAACACTTTGGTCAGATCGGCCTATGATCACTTAGATGCTGAGATTAAAGCTCTTATGGTTGATCGAGAGTTTGTTCCTCTTAAGATTACTAGGGATCAAAATAGGGTAGCACATCAACTCGTTTTTTATAGCTGTACCGAGGCTTGTACTGCTGTATGGTTGAATTTGAGTCCTCCGTGTTGTGAGGACTTGGTGGCTCGAGATTGTAAACCTATCATTAGAGAATGAAACTCTCTTTTTCCCCGAAAAAAAGAGAGATATAGTGGCCGTGGTCCCCTATAGTGGTACGCAGCAGCGCGACTCATGTGTAGTGCTCCATTTGGGTCAGGGTCAGTATTTTTTTTTTGATATCAAGAGACTTTATTCCTCAAATAATGGAAAGATCGTTTACAAGGGAAGAAGAAATAAAGTCAGGGATAGCATCCCAAACACAAGAGGTACTGGAGCTAAAAGCATATTTTGCTATAGTATTCGCCACCTCATTGGCCTCTCTAAAACAATGTGAGAAATTAAGTTGGCCAAATTCCTTCATCAGTTGTTTACTCTCCATCATCACTAGAATGGAAGATCCTGCATAATCGTTCTCACCTTTCATGGCATCAACAGCAAAAGGGCTATCGGATTCAACTATCAGCTTGCTATAGCCAATGCTCGCCGCCAAATAGAATCCATTTTTGATCACAGTCATTTCCGCTGAGTCTACATTAGGAACGTGAGGCATGAGCCATGAGGCAGCCGCAATAAAATTTCCATTCTCATCTTGGGCCACTGCGCCAGAAGCTCCTGACAATGTTTCATCGACGAATGAAGCACCAACATTTATTTTAACGAATCCTTTGGATGGCTTCTTCCAAATCTGACCGAGTTTACATTTTGGAGACTTTGAGTTACCAGCTCGCATAAAATTTGTCAACAGAACTTTGATGGAGATGGCAGATCGCTCTGCATTTTGCACAGATTCTCCCCTCACCAATTGTCGCCGTTGCCACCAAAGAAACCATGCAGCAAGTAGCGCCAGTTCAGCAGATGGCAAGTCCCCGGTGACTGATTGCATTTTAGCTAAAATTTCAAGTGTAACTGATCCTGACCTATCTTGCATAACCGCTTTTTGCACATCATCATAAAGTCCCAAATCCTTCCATACATCTTTTACTCTGGCACACTTGAAGAGGCAGTGTTGTATGTCCTCAGGTCCCAAGGAGCAGATCAGGCATTGAATAGGTGTACGTATGTGCCTTCCTGAAAAGACCCCATAACATGGTAAAACCCCATGCAACACTTTCCATGCAAATATTTTAACCTTCCCTGGAATTCTTAACTTCCAGACTTCTTTCCAGATTGAATTCAAGTAGCCCGAGGCATTCTAGCGCAGGAACGACAATAAAAAGCAAACGGGCCCCTAAAAAAAAAAAACAAGCGGCGCAGTTTTATTCCTTCCAATTAATCTTCACACACTTGTTTTCAACATTCTTTAATTCTAGAAATGGTCTACTAATACGTCCTTGGACTACCATTGAATATCCAGGTACTTTCCATCACGTGTTTTTAATTATTCTTCATGTATTTAAAAATGGTCATTTGATCAGAAAATGGTATGTGTTTAACTGATGTCTGGGTGAATAAACTATTGTTTCCATGCATTTTAAAATAATGTACAAAAACCTTTTTCCTGAAATACAATCAATTCTCATAAAAATGATAATATTTTGAAAGCATATGATGAACATTTTCTTTAAGCAAGGTGAAATTGTGTTAAAATACAAGATGAACTTTTTTCAAAATCATGATGGACATTTATGAAATACATGTTGAGATCTTCTGAAGTATGTGATGCCTTTCTTAAAAAAAGATAAACATTTTTAAAATATGATGACCATTTTGAGTAGACGATGAGCATTTTCCGAAATGCACAATTGAGAATTCTAAAAAAACATAAAAGTTTATTTTGAAAAGCACTATTGAAGAAAAATAAGAATCGGAAGAAAATAAAATAAGAAACAACAAAGAAAAATGAAATCAGAAAACAAAAGTAAAAAAACAAATAGGATCATATACTTCAAATTTAAAAGTGAATTATTTTTTGGAAACATCAGTATAATAAAAAATATGTTAGAGATATTTTGGTAAAGAAAAGTCATGTAACTAGAATAAAATAGGAAAACAAAGAAAAATTAAATGAAGGAGAAAAAATAGAGGTGGGAAAAATAAAGGAAGAAAGAACAATAAATATCGGGAAAATCCCCAGAAAGAAAAGATGGAAAGATAACGGGGGACAGTAATGAAAAAACAACAATGTTAAGAAAACATGGTGTTTCCGAAAAATGTTAGTGTGTATTTTGAAATTATCATCTAATTAAAACAGTGCACCATATTTTTTTGAAAATGTTCGGTTAGATAAAAGAGTGTTCACATTATTAGGCTTAGAAATAAACAATGAATATTTTGGCGAAATACAGAGTAATTTTTAAAAACACGATGAATAATTTGTAAATACACAACAAAGATTTTTGAAAGTAAATGATGGATTTATTTGTTTTCATTAAGATAATATTTTAAAGACATAGCAATCCTCCTCTTAAAGATGATGAACTTTATTCAATACACAAATGATATGATTTCAAAAAAAAATCTATCAACATTGAAAAAATGGACGATGTACCTTTCAAAAATCATCATTTGCAATTGTTTAAACGGGTGACCATTTTTAATGCATGCAATGAGCATTTTATAAACATGTCTAATACTTGCTTTTACATACATGTCATACTTGTTTTGAAATATGCGATGAGCAAAATGGCCCTTTTGTAGAATGATAAGTCCAATTATTAAATACACGTTGAATGTAATTCTAAGTATGACATGAGCACTCACGATGAATATTTGTTACAAACATTGTGACTACTTTTCTAAACATGATGGCCATTTTGAAACTACATAATGAACAATTTTCAAAACATGACCAATAATTTTGGCAAAGGCAATGCATTTTTTCTTAAATACATGATTAACAAATAAGGACCATAATAAAAATATCAACAAAAAGGAAACAATAAGTAGAACAATGAAGTAAAAAATAGAAGAAAGAAGAAAGAAAATTGATGTTGTACTTAAAATAAAACAACTTAAGGGAATTGTAAATATTTATATAAGTACAATTTTGTTCAATGTATTTTACAAAATATTCATGTAACTAAACAGAAATAAAGTAAAATGAAAGAAAGGGAAAACGACAAAAATAAAATGGAAAATAAATAAACCAATAAAAAAGCAGATGAATGACTAAAAGTGGACTGAAAACCAAACGAAAAAAATGTGGCAATTGTTCCTGATTGTGTAGCTACAAGGTCGGTCCGCGTTCATCGCCCTGTGGGCGAGGTGAATGTATCCGGTGCACCCATCCTTGTGGTGCTACATGTTCATCAGATGCCATGGCATATTTCAAATTGTTTAAAAACATTTGAAAAACAATCTTGCACATTGGCACGACATAAATATATGTTGTCATAAAATTTCATATGAAAATTCGAAAGATTGCTCGAGATGCAAAAATGACAATTTTGACATCAATATGGTAATGGGCCTAATATAAAGCCCAATTTATGTTATTTACTATTGAGTGTGAATTTTGTCATTTTTGTTTTACGAGCTATGTTTCACATTTCGATTTGATTTATTTTTTTGACAACATAAATTGATGTTGTGTCAGTGTGATAAATGTTTGTCCTAATTTTCAAAAAAATTAAAACATGCTATGGGAGTTCGGTGCACCGGATATTCTCCGTCTGGGCGAGGGCTAACTAACAGTCCACGGTAGGCTATAAATAGCATTTCATGTTCTTCGTCCCCCCTGATCCCTCCAATTACTTATCGTGGAGCCCCTGATTTTTACTTGCGTGTTTTCACGTCACACATTAAGTTTCATTCGTAAGAACGTTTCCCTGCATGTAGTAGACTCACTCATTTTTGCTCATGGACGATTGAAGTCCGAAACACCACATCCTATTGACTTATCTCGAAAAGGAAAAAACACCTCCTATCAGATTTGACTAGCTACGCTGGTGTTCTCGCGCAACAGCTCATTTGCTATACTAGCTCCACTATATTATTACTATTTTGCGGGTAGCTTCATTCTAAATTAGATGAAGTTTCTACAAAGCCTGTAGGCTAACTTACATATCTTTCGACCATTAATTAATATAGATTGCTAATGGACTATCTAGATAAGTTTGAACAATAGGACAGATATGTTCAAGTTGTGTACTGAAATTTGGAATTGCGTTTGTATATTAGTGCTTATCAAGGTTAAATGGCAGACAAGCGCATCTGGTGTAGTGGTATCATAGTACCCTCCCACGGTACTGACCAGGGTTCGATTCCCTGGATGCGCAACTTTTTTTCGCTGGTGTGTGTTTTTCCCAACTGATCCCGAATTTGCCTAAGCAGCTTTGGTTGAAAAATTCTTTTTTTTTTTGAGGGGTTGAAAGATTCTAACTGATGAATGTTTGTGTTCTGGATGTGACAAGCCTGATAAGATTACAGAATTCCACTTGATGATAAAATTACAGCGACGATAACTTCACAGTCGAAACACTTGTGCAGCTTGGACATCTAGGTAAACGCGGTGCGCTGACGTACATCAGCACTCGCCATATTGCCTGGCAGATCGATCCGCTTCACCATTTCCAGAAGACGTTGGATCCGCACTTGAACTTCTCCTTCCCCTCGCACTCGATCTCGAGGTCGTCGGTGATGAACGGGACTTTCTGCAGCCACGCAAGAAGACATGATCGTCAGCCAGCCAGAGCTCAGAGTTCATCCGGTCATGGAGAATAATTAATTAAACAGGAGAGCTACCTTCTGCTTGGCGAGGTCCTGGCAGCCGGTGAAGTTGTAGGGGAACTTGCAGCTGCCGAACTGGACGGTGTAGGCGCGCGCGAAGTTGGCGCCGCTCGTCGCCGCCCTCTTCTTGTCGTTCAGCTCCTGATCACACGCAGAAACCACCAAAAAAAGATCGTCAAACTCCATTGAGAAATGAGCAACAAACTGACCGACGGTGACAGGGAAGGAAGGAAACAGAACGGACCTTGTTGAGCTTGCTCTTCTCGAGGTACTCGTCGAAGACGCTTGCCCTGGCCGACCCGGCGGTGGCGGCCGTGACGGCGAAGACGGCCGCCAGGCCGAGAAGCGCCGACCGCCGGTCCTTGGCCGGGGCGACCTGCACGCGCTTTGCCGCCGCCGGCGACGCGGACTGTGGCACCGCCGCGGCGGGCTTGAGGCCGACCACACTGGTGTTCACGCCGGCCATGATCCTCTCGAGGTTTCTTGATGAATTTGGTGGCGTGTGTGTGAGAGTTCGGTTGGTCTCAGGGAGAGGAGGGTGTGGTGATGGTTTTGTTTTTGATCGCGGAGGACGTTGTGGAGGGAAAACGGCGCTGCGGTGGGCGTGTGGATAGGGTGAGGCTTGCTTCCATTCCATTGGCTGGCCTTGGCGCCACGGTGGCTCCCATTATCCTCATGGGATGGGGCCCATGCGACACGTGGCAGGATCTCCTTGGCCTTGGCCTTGACCTGACTGCATCACTAGATTTTTAACCCTGGGAGCTCTCGCGAAACAGCTCATTTGCTATTTGTACATACTACTAGCTCTATTCAAAATTACATGTGACGTTTCTAAAGGCATGTAGTGAAACCTTTCATATCTCCGACCACTAATTAGAATCTTTTAGATAAAGATGAACCATATAGCCCCCGCAAAAAAAAAGATGAACCATATAGGACAGTTTTTTTTTCTATTTTTTCCATGGAACCACAGTTGTGCACTGGATTTTCGAGTACTCAAGTGTATTAAGCTTAATCAAGGGTGGTAACACAACCAAGCGCATCTGGTGTAGTGGTATCATAGTACCCTCCCACGGTACTGACCAGGGTTCGATTCCCTGGATGCGCAATTTTTCTCCTCCAACATATATTTTTTTGTTCGTTCTTATTGAAGAACAAAAGTTAATCTCCTTTTGCAAACCTGACCTTGGAATTCTAATTGTATGTTTCATATCACTGAAGATCAAATTTGCTGACAATGTATCCACTCATCTGTTTTGTTTGTAATCATATATTTTTGTTTGTTCATCCTTCTTAAAAGTTAATCTAACCAAACTTTGGAATTTTAATTGCTTGTTTTATCAGTGAAGATCAAATCTCCTGGCAATGTATCCAATCATCTGTTTTGTCCTGGCAATGGCGAGCCATATCACCCCATAAAAAGTAAACCAAAAATGATTCATGAGCAGGTTAGCTTGCTGGTAAGTAATTTGTCGATCAAACATGAAAAAAAAAATAGGGCTCCAAGAGGAAATGTATCATTATCTTTAGTTCACAGTTCACACGATACAAATGCAGTAGCTTACTGATAAGCTACAGCGTGACAAAATTTATAGCCATCAGAAGTTCACAACTACCTCAAAATAAAACTACTCTACTACGACACTCGATAGATCAGGCATCCGCTTTTCCTTGCCCCGTATGAAAACTACAGAATACAGAATGGTCAACGAACTGCACACTGATTGCAAGCACAGATGATCGGTGATCACAACCATGGAGGGAACACATCTTTCAGCACCGGCCACACATCACCTGCAAGCACAAATGCTGTAAATCAGAACCATATGGAGCAAACCAAGTGTGTCATACAAATGACGTGCTCAGGACATGAAACAAATATCTAGACTGCAGGACTAAGCGAAGGTGGTGTTGATTGTCACAGGATGGTCTCATCGAACAATCAAATGGCATGGACAAAGCAAAAAGCAGGTATGCAGTTTATTTTCAGCTCGAGTACCAATACTACTGCAACAGCAGAAGCAGGACTCCAATCTAACAGCAACCGCATGCCACAGTTACAGGGAAATGATAAACCAATCTTAGTCAAGTATAAATCAGAATTAAACCTGTAACACAATCTTAGTCCAGTATACTAAGCGTTTTAAGTTCATGATGGAAAAGCGCCACTTTTCTGTCCAAACAGCACATAGCTCATGTTTTGCTTTATGTTTTTACCAGTCACGACAACAAATAATCAGGGCAGTTATTGTTTAAGGGCATTCTAACTTCTGACAACATTATGTACATCTGAAGGCTCACTAATCTCATGTGAAAACATCTACTTCTGGAGTAGTTTGCACAGCACTATTACAGAAACAAAAGAGTGTGTGCACCAGAGGTGGGAACAAAAGCATTCCTGTCCTGATTTCATAGTCCAGGTAAACTGAAGATCGCAGTGGCTATTTATGTTGTTCTATTAGACTATGTGATGCGACCTACTTCTACAATTAACCAATTCATCTATGTACAAATCAGTTCTATGGTTTATTAGCACACATAACCAGGACCTGTCTGACAACTGATAACCCAATGGAACAATTCAATACCACGAACTGCTTTGCTTGATTCATTCCACACAATTCAGTAAGTAATGTGAACCAAAAATACCCAATAGTGCATTCACGTGTGAGGAAAAAGACCAATTATCACCAAAAATTCGGAATCGCCTCATCTCATACTCAATTAATCATCCAGTACATTCATATGTCATGCAGGAACTCTCGAACAAGATAGTAGTAAGACATTGGGTCCCTAAATTCACGCATATGGTCCACTCAGTAAACACAAGAACAACCAAGTCTCGACCCTCACCTCACATGAGCTCCTCCTCCTTGCGGAGGTACTCGCCGGCGTCGGACTGGTGGAGCACCACCACGGCGTTGGTGTCGGCCTTCCTGCAGTCCTGCGCGCCCCTGGCGGCGACCCCAAACCCGAGCGGCACGTCGGCCATGGACATGACGACAACACCATCGCCTGACTTGGTGTTCTCGGTGATGCGCGCGAGCGCGGACTTGGGCACGGAGTTGCCGAAGAGGAACGAGCGCTCCGTGTCGGGCTTGAGCCAGATGCGGCGGCGCGCGTGGGCGGCGAGGAGGTCGAGCGCGTGGACGGTGAGGTGGAAGGCGCCGCCGTGGGTGAACTTGCCGATGGGCGTGCCGACCCCGGCGAGGCGCGTGCGGGAGACGGCGGTGGCGCGGCGGACGAGCGACTCGGAGGCGTAGAAGACGCGGTTCTTGTGGAGGCGGAGGCAGTAGCGGCCGGGCTCCGGGTCGGGGCCCTCCACGGAGGGCCGCTCCAGGAGGTGCTTCAGGTTGGGGCCGGTGAACTTGAAGAGCTTCTCGAAGACCATCGTGGTCTCCTTCTCGTCGAGCGGCCGCATGGCGGAGGCGGCGGCGGGGTTTCGGGGGCGGAGGGTTGAGGGGGAGCGGCGGTGAAGGTTGGGGACGGACGGCGGCTAGGGTTTAGTCGGGTGCTTCCTCCCCCTTGGTTTTATCGGGACTGCGGGCCTTTAGGTTGTCGGCCGTTGGATCGGTTAAATCCTACGGCTGATAGCATGCCTCACAATTGCTTCGCATGCCAATGGTTTTGCGTATACCCGCTCCATTTGACCATTTTCCATGATTTTTTAACCCAATCGCTGGTCGAAATATGTGTATATGTGGTTCCCAACACCATGCTCATACATATACCATATGACTACTAGATATAGAACATACGCATACATATACATATGACTACTAGAGATTCAAGCCGGGACATCTCACCATGGGATTTAATTTAGCAAGAAACATACAATTTCTAATACTTGGGGGTATAACCATTTAATTATCAATGTTTGACGGAGGAGATGAATCCCTATATAAAATGAACACGTAGAATCCACCATTTTGCACGTGTCGATGACACGTTATGTTGCTGCTCTTGAGTTCCGCACCATCATTAAAAAAAGGTATCATACGATTGCTTAGAGTATAGTTAGCGTCTGCTACTTCTTGAGTTTGCGTTGGTTTTTCTTTTGAAGAGAAAAGGGTGATGCAGCAAAGTAGAGTAAGTATTTTCCTCAGTTTGGGAACCAAGGTATCAATACAATAGAAGACAACGCACAAGTCACCGAATACCTGCACAAACAATCAACAAACTTGCACCCAACGTGATAAAAGGGTTGTCAATCCCTTCACGGTTACTTGCAAAAGTGAGATCTGATAGAGATAGATAAACGTTAAGTAAATATTTTTGGTTTTTTTGTTTATAGATCGAAAAGTAAAAGATTGCAAATAGTAAATCGGAAACTAGTATGATGGAAAATAGAACTTATATGATGGAAAAGAGACCCAGGGGCCATAGGTTTCACTAGTGGCTTCTCTCAAGATAGCAAATAATATGGTGGGCAAACAAATTACTGCCGAACAATTGATAAAAGAGTGCATAATTATGGCGCTATATAAGGCAATAATCATGAACATAGTGATCACGTCCGTGTCAAGTAGACCGAAACAATTCTGCATCTACTACTATTACTCAACACATCAATCGACTCCTGCCTGCATCTACAGTATTAAGTTCATAAAGAACAGAGTAACGCACTAAGTAAGATGACATGACGTAGAGGAATTAACTCAAGCAATATAATGAAAACTGAAAGTGCGTTACGTCGACTAGAGGGGGGTGAATAGGCGATTTTTATGAATTCTTCAATGAGGAATTTCAGGGTGAGGAAATTCCTAAGTGAAGAACTACTTGCAGCGGAATAAGTACTCAGGTATAAGCATGACAGAGCAACAACATAGTCATCATGATGAAATGAAAGACAAACACTGAGTACAGAAAGCCTAAACACATGATAGGCAGGATGAAGACAAACAGACTGAAGAAATAGGATTGAGGAATTGAAGAAATTCTTCAGTCAAAGTATTCAAACAGTAATGATCAGGTACATCAACACATAACTGAGGAAATTAAAGGGTTGAGGAAATAGAACCAGTTGGCTTGGTGAAGACAATGATTTGATAGACCAGTTCCAACTGCTGTGACAGTTGTACATCTGGTTGGAGCGGCTGAGTATTTAAACTCGAGGACACACAGTCCCGAACACCCAGTCCTGAACACACAGTCCAGGACACCTAGTCCTCACCATATTCTCCTTGAGCTAAGATCACACAGACCTCGCCCAACAGTAGTGGTAAGTCTTCACAGGTGACTTCCAAACCTTCACAGACTTGGTCACTCGGCAATCCACAATTCCTCTTGGATGGTCAAACCATGACGCCTAACCGTCTGGAGGATACACAGTCGTCAAAGGTAACAAGCGTCGGTTCCACACAAGAACAATCTCTTCAGTGATGCTCAATCACTTTGGGGTTTGTAGGTTTGGGTTTGGGATTTGGGTTTTCCTCACTTGATGATTTTCGCTCAAAGTCCTCGAAGGAATGGGATGCTCTCAAATGACAAGTGTCAGTTTCTCTCGGAGCAACCAACCAACTAGTGGTTGTAGGGGGCGGCTATTTATAGCCTAGGGAGCAGCCCTACATGATAAGACATAAATGCCCTTGTCTGATATGACCGTTAGGTGATAGGATATTTTGGACAGCTAGCGTG